TTTAATTACCGCCTGCATTAATGTTGCATTACTAATTCTTATTACTATGTGATCAATGCATGACTTAGTTATTGTACCGCCATAATATTCTTCTCTTGTGTAATCGTGTATCACGTTCTCGAGCGCGAAGGCGGAAAGCGTGTCTAAGTACTTTGATACTCCATACTTTTTCTCGCTTAAGACATATATGTTAAAGTCTCCGGCCAGTATGATATGCGGCTTGTTATCGAATTGGCGCAATAATGGTGAGACTTCCTTACAGAACATTTTTATATTAGAATTAGGCGGTAGATAAACTGCGCATACAATGTAACACATAGATGGCTTGTGAACAGAAATTTCGCATAGTCCTGCATGGTCAAGGGAAACGTTAATTCTTTCCGACAAACAACTATCATTTATAGACATCAACAAACCTCCTCGCTTTTTTCTTTCTCGACAAAGACAGTATGAATGAAAACCAACCAACTATATTCCACAGATTCTTTCTCTTCGATGTTTATATCACTTAGTGTCAATACCGTCCAGGGACGACAGTTTTCCAGATAACAGAACCAATAGGTCGTCCCAGTGTTTGCGTAAACTTCCAGCATTCGCGTGTATTAGACTGAGTTTTCGACCGCTACTATCGTTTTCTGCTAGAAAGTGTGCAATAAGACTCTCTTATTCTTGAATGGTGACGAATGTGCTTTCCATTTCTATGTTATCTTGGCTAAATCTCTTTCGCACTCGATGCGAAGAGCACCGGCGCGTTGTTTTTGCCTCACAAAGATTTTACCGTTTCGCACCCACACAAACTTATATGACTTTGCTTTTGCACATTCCTTAGTAGCCTACAGCAAGTTTTTCAGTGTTTTTGGTAGATTTTCGTTAATATATTTTTTTACATTCCGCAAGGTCACGCGCTTTGTCAACCAGAGTTCCCGTGGTCTCCTTTCCACAAACCTCACCAGGATTGGCGCAGTTTTTTCCTTCGCTCGCCCCTAGGCGGTGAGCAGCCTCAATGTCCTCAGGGCAAGTTGCGGCAGCTCGAGTTTATCGGCTAAGTTATTTACAACTTCTAACATATTCTCGTTTGTTCTTTGGGCAATTTCATAAATTTCGATATTTTTGCGCCGGGAGTACTGCTCCGCGTTATCCACAGCTATCTTTATTTCTCTGATTTTCAGGTCCTGCTCGGTTACTTTAGCTTCTAGTTGACCCGTCCTCTTTGTCAGTTCCTTGATTGTAGCGCTCTGCTCATCCAGTCGTTTAAGAAGCTCATCGTACTTCCCTGACAGGGTGCTCATCGAGGCATCCTTTGCTTCGACAGTTTTCCCATGCGTGTCTAGCTTCGTCATGATTTCATCGTCTTTACTGCTTTGTTTTTCTATGAATTTTTCAACGCCTTCCATTCTGTTCAGGATGTCAGTTTCTTATATATAGCTTCGTTTGTGGGCAGCAACTTATCTACATTCAGCTCGCGGCAGCCACTTGAAGTTGCCCTCTCCCCTTCTGCGGGGCCGCGCTCATCGGACGTTGCATACTGACGGGAAACATGAAGTTTGCACGTGTTACATTTCCACGCATTGACGCTCTCTCCCGTCACTGCCTGCAGGGACTTTTTCGTAAGGCCAGAGCACTTCTCAGTATGGTGCTTATTTTCGCAGTCTGAGCCCTTTAGACTGAGACCCCCTGCTGGCAAAGAATTCATACCTGCAATACACTCGTTTTCTCCCGCCATATCACAGTTTTTAACGCAACGAACACTAATAGGCAGACCAGCGAAATGCAAACCCGTAGGCTCACGCTAGCGTATTGAGTTAAAATCAAGCTTACCTAAAACAGAAAAGGCAGCGCTTAGCTTTGGGCATAAGGCATCTCGCTGGTCTGTGACGTGCTGTTCCGTGTTTGGCGCTTTTGTAGGCGACGAAACCAGGCTCTCGGTGTCACAGCAGATAACCTTGGTGCTTGCGCCGTAGCCTGCTGCGGCTCGATGAACTTCCTCGTGACGAGAACTGCCGATGACTGGGCAGCGGGCGATCTTGTTGCTTGTCCCTCCTGCACAGGGCGCTCCTGCGCGAAGCCAAAGGGCTGCGGTCGTGGAAAATCAGGCTTGAAACCGTTTACCGATGATCGTCGCCTAAAACAGAAAAGGCAGCGCTTAGCTCTGGGCATAAGGCATCTCGCTGGTCTGCGACGTGCTGTTCCGCGTTTGGCGCTTTTTTAGGCGACGAAAACAGGCTCTCGGTGTCACAGCAGATAACCGTGGCGCTTGCGCCGTAGCCTGCTGCGGCTCGCTGAGCTTCCACGTGACAAGAACTGCCGATGACTGGGCAACGGGCGATCCTGTTGCTTGTCCCTCCTGCGCTGGGCGCTGCTGCGCAAAGCCGAAGGGCTGCGGTTGTGGAAAATCAGACTTGAAACCGTTTGCCGACGATCGTCGCCTAAAACAGAAAAGGCAGCGCTTTGCTCTGGGCATAAGGCATCTCCCTTCTGGTCTGCCAATAATCCAATACACGAAGCCTTACTGTAAGAACAAATATATTGAGATGCATGTTCTAAAGGTAAACACGTTTGACGGAACTCCGTCTGGTTGGGTAAAAAATTCGAGAAACGCAGACCTTCACCAACCATGTCCTAAATATTTAGGAGCCCCCCTCCCCCCCCCCCATCTCAGGGTCTACAATATGTCGATTCATTCCTAGCTCGCCCGCACTGCATCACTGATTACACCTCATTTTAATAGGTCCAGCTAAATAAGTCGACAGGCACTTAAACACCGGCGTATGTCAACGGACTAGGGCACTTGAAGAAGAGAAAGTGAGTGAAGCAAACGAGACACCGTAGATGGAAAAGACTCTGCTGCTCTCCATGTACAAATAGTTGACACTGATGAAAAAAAAAAAAACGAATCGGTTTTTAAACGTCGGGCTCCTAACACTTTAGACATGGTTGGCTATGGTCCGTATCTCTCTAATAGAGATGCGTGCATTAATATTCCTAATTAGACATAAATATTGCGAAGGAGAGGCAATATATTTCTCATCTTTATTACTTTAGGACATCGGCCTGCACGAGCTCGAATCTCCGCAAAATACTGTCACGGGAGGCGAAAGTTATAGTCAATTTTACGTGCGCTTGTTCTGGGACCTCAATTTACAACTCTGTGTTTTAACAGTCATGCGCGCTCTAACAATTTATTGGGCTGCCGCATATCATCGCGAGACTGCTATATATACTGCACAACGGTACAATTTGGAAATCCCATTTGGCTCTACTTCGTTTCAGCTTAAAGGGGCGGTGCAGCGATATTCAATTGGAATGTTTCTCACTCTACACGAGCTTACAGGCACTAGTGGGAAACAAGGATACTCGCACGCAACGCCACTGGGCAAGAAACTCCTTTGTTGCGGTGTAATTTCAAGGACAAAAACGGGCGGTCTCATTCAATATCTCCTTCCCGAAAATTGATGACGTACCTGGGCGGTCGCAATACCCCCCAGTGACATTACTTGAATGCAGCTCATAGACTGGACCCGGGCAATGCGTGGGCACTCGATTTGGGCTCGTGATAGTCGATAACTCGAGAACACTGAAAGTGAAAATGGTCAGGAGCCTTCTTTAGAAGGGGTCTCCTGCTAGTTTCCACGATTTAAAAAATCCCAGTCCAGACGTGCTTAACCACAGTCCATCCTGCCCTCGCTCGCGAATAGACCGATCTAACCAGCTAGATTGGTCACACCGCGGCTGCCGCAATGCGTCGAGGGAACTTTTGTCTTTCTGCACGTCGAAAACCTTGCTGGAGCTCTGCGCAAGCAGAGCATGAGACGGCACGTGCCTTTTCGTGCACTGCTGCCTGTCGCACAGTTGTGCATGTATAACACTCAAACACAGCAGGGAACGCGCCCTCACACATTTTTATGGAAAGGTTTATACTAGCAGACCGCACGCAGACGAAATCCGTTGGCAGCAAAAGCGCCGTCGCCATGCAAGCGTTTTTTTTTTTTTGCTATGTTTTGCTTTTACTGTCAGCGCGTATTTTCCACTTAAAGGTGCATTACAGAAAGATTATGTTCATTTTAATAAACCATGGTTGTCGCGAGCAGTCTCGATTCTGGTCTCAATTGCCTTGATGAGGAGGTAGGGCCATCTATCAATACGAACGCAAAACACGCCCCGGAACAGAATGTGGCCGTCTGCGTCGCCGCCCGCCGTTGGCTTTGGCCAGTTTCTTGGCTTTTGAGTTTTACAAGAAAAAACGACATGGTGAAATAAACTTTAGATTCCTATGTGCAGGCGTCGATTTTTACGGTCCGTTTTAAACGGAGCCAGGGTGACTTCAGGCACCCTACATATAGTAACTGACGGCTTAAGGAACACCGGGCGTCACTGATAACATTCACTCTTGTCGCTTTGTCATGCATCCTTGGGCTTTGTTTTCTGCAAATTCCAAAATCTAATTGGTTTCGGAGCAATAATAAAACTATTGGGTCCTGTCACGCGCTGGGTTGTTTAGGACGTCAGTGTCCACAGTTAACCACGTCGTATCACCTTTCCTTGCTTCTGACAATATTCACCTCACGACAGTGCAAGCTAGGCTGTGATAAAAAGTAGATGATTGGCTTAATTAATTTTGATTAAGTTAATTTGGTTAATTTTGAGTTTATTCGAAGGACGGTGTACGGCGAAGTGGAACTTTGTCTTGTCTGTTGCTTCAAGGCTGTATCAAGCGTTTGTGCCAGGTGCAACCCCAAAAACCAAAGCGACGAGGGCATCGGAACAACCATTTCTTTCCGAGCTCTTCTGGAATTTTCACTCCGTTGCGTATTATTACCAATTGTCTCCCATGTAAACGCAGCCTCTGTGAACAATGCTTTTCCCTTGAGAGGGTCTCGTCACAAACGTCAGCTATGATCCGGTACAGCTGTGTTGTAAAATAACAACAAAAAAATAGAAACCTATTTTATCACTTACGCAGTGTTCAGTCAGTCTCAGAAGAGGAGTGAACGCGGATAGAATACGTTGCAATGGGCCTCCAGTACGCATTTTTGTTCGCATGTCTCACCACGGCTGAGGTCTGGGCACTGTACGAGGAATGGACGCCGAGCTATCACTGGACGCCGAGCTTTCACTGGACGGAGAAAATGACCATGAAAAACCCGGAAAACAACCCTACCTTCAACGACCCAGAACTTGGGTCTCTGCAAGATGCGTGGCAGGTATGTGGTTAAGATAAGAGGGGATAGGAGAATGAAATTCAGTGTGTTTCTTTAAGGCTTTACAGATTTGTTTTAAAAATACACGAAAGCTATACTAATGCGGACTGTGCAGGTGAGTTACACGGTCAGAGAGACATATTCTGAATAAATAAACATCAAGACCAACGAGTTAATTAGCTCAAATGTGTTAATGAACTTTTTAATGATTAAAGGTAAGGATATGAGTCCAATCAGAAATTTGCTGAGTGTCATTGAAAACTACTGAATCAGCAAATACGCTTGGAGCGCGTAGGAAACTCGATATCGCGCTAAAGTTACAATCATATCATCTGCAGCTTTTCTCCAGGTGACATACGCCATAAGAGATGACGCCGGGGTGACTTCCGGTATAGAGGGACACGCCCCCAACGATGACCAAAACCAAAAGACGCTATTGGACGAAAAGCGCACCTGATTCGGCGTCAGCAGCGGCTTCGGTGCGGTTTTGGTCACCCTTACGGGTGTTCCACCGACCACGTCCTCCACTTCCGGCTTCACACGGGCTTTTCTCGTTTGGCTGGCTTGTGTCTCTATGTCGCCTCTTCTTCTTCCTACCTCCGTGTTTTCGATAGAAATGCAGTGTTTTATAGAAGACGGGGTAGTGTTGGGACCGGAGACGCTCGTGTGAGGCGCGTGTTGTAGATCGTGACAGGTGTCGACACCGGTGCATTGGTAGTGAGCTGAACAGGGTGGTGGTTGGGCACTTGCTCCTCGATAGCCTCTTTTATACTGACAAAGCCTGGCAGATGGCCACGATAAGCTGCCACCGAAATGGAAAAGGTAGAGCGGCAGACAACAGATGAGAGGAGAGCCACGTGACTCGCGCCCCGCTGCGGCGAGAAGCTGAAACACACTTCTCCCGAGTGAAAAAAAGAGTGTTTCGGGTCCTCCCCGCGACAAAAGCTGTGCGCTGACATTCGGGTTCTCCGAGAAACGGCTCTTCGATGCTCTCTGCTACGAGATCCCCCCGCTCCAAATCGGCGACCGGGCACTTCATGGCTCCGTCGTCGAACCGCCAGGCTTTGTGAGTATTACCGGCGAGATGCTTGGGTGGCGCCCTCCTGTGGTTACCTCTCGTGACGCCATTACTTTCTGAACCACAAGTTTGATGGTGCTTGTATTTAGGACGGTGGAAGCTGGAAATCAATGCGATCTTAAAGCAACCCTGACAATACCGTCAAAATCGAAGTTCTTACATTACTCTTATTTCTGTCGACGAGACCCCTATCCTTTGCTGACGTGGAAGAAAGCATTCGGCCAATCGTGGAAGGCCCACCAGTGCGACGCTTTCGATCGGTCTCGTGGGCAATAGGGGAGGCTATTCTACATGCTCACGCGCACGTGCAGCGGCCTGTGCAGGCTTCAGCGACTTTCTGCTGTCGACTCCAGCGCTGCGTTCGTTGTCTATACGTGCAGCCTCACGAGCTGCCACTGCCTAGACGCGCCGGTCCAAACACTACCCCGCATTCTAGTACACTGCAAGAAAACGACCTGATTAAGCGTTCCACGCGTGCGTAACGTCGATAGAAGTGTAGTTCATTGAAGGGAAGCACCAGTTCTCGAGACAGCTCGTGCCACTTCGTCCTCCGCTCGCGCAGACCCTCGGCGTGGTTGTTGCGTGTGCAGAAAGACACTAGGCGCGTTCGATTTACCTGAACCTCTCGCACCTGTGCAGAAAAGTATAGCGCGGTGTACTTCCGGTATCTGTATCGGGATACGACCGGAAGCACACCGCCCTACGCTTTTCTGCACCAGTGTAGGAGGCAAAGTGTCGAACCGGAACCCAACCGTTATCTTTAGCCAAACCGAACCTGAACCGAACCGAAATTTCCGCCGCCATCTTGGAACTGAACCGGAACTGAACCGAAAAAAATGTAATGGTAACCGATTCAAAACTGTTCACGGTAATTTTTTTTTTTTTGTATTAGAAAATGAATGTTTTAAAAATCGAAATCGGGAGCTGTATTTCTACAGGGTGATTCAAGAAGACGCCAGGCTCTTTAAATCGACCGCAAAATTCGGTTTCTTAACCTATCGCGCGACGACTTTGTGCCGCGTTGCCCACAGAGGGTGTATTTTTTTTTTTTTTTTGTAAAGTTTGCAAAGAGTGAACTTACCTGAGGAAAAAACAAAGAAAGAAAAAGGCTTAGCTCCCATGGAAACGCAGCGACGCCACCGGTCTTCAAACAACACGGCACCGTTTCGCACGGGATAAAAGAGATGGCGCAACGAACGCCGCCAACGAACAAGCATACGGCGCCGAGAGGCGGCGTCTTTCGCAGACGAACTTTTCGACTCAAAAGCGGCGCGCGTTCCGCAGGCGGCGAAAGTCGCAGAAACAAAAACACGCGCGGTAACAACAAGGCCACTGATCTCTATGTCTATTTGCTGGATCGCGTTTGACCAGCTCCTCCTATGGACCGAAATGCGGTCGCTGGCGGCCATCTTTAGGTAGAGTTATATCATCTCTAGCCATCATAGTAATATGGCGGACAGCGCAATGGCGGCCGGGTGCCATAAAATCAACGAAGTAGAGGGGCTTAGAGTGATAAACCGGAAGTTCCGAAGTGGCACCCCCCCGGTTGCCGCCATGTTTTACGCAAATGTGACCACTCGTCTCGTGAGCTTACAAGAGCCGTGACGTCGCAGGTAAGATGGCAGCGCCCAGAGCTGGCGGATGCGAGTTTGTTCGGTGCGCGGCAGCCGTGATGTGCAGCGGCTTTCCAACGATTTCGGGCTTCTTCGTGCTCGCTGACGCAGGTATATTGTGAAAATATGAAGGAATGAGACTTTATACCCTTTTTACGCAAGATCTCTCTGGATCATATGAATATTAACACCTGTGAGACAGCATCAGCCGTATCGCCGTACCGGTGCTCGGATTCCGAGATGTGTTCGAGGATCGATAGAACTTTGAGTGCTTTTAGCATGAAATTTTCGCGTTCTCTTAGCTTTGTTTGAACGTTGAAATGGCTATAAATCGACGCGAAAGGTATACGTCGCGTTAGGGCCTAGGAGAAGTTGTTTGAGGCCTGCGTCACCGAATAACCATAGCAACTTTTAGCGAGGAAACTCCTGCGCCCTTTGTGCTAATCGGCGATTCTACATTCGATCGCCTTTCTTCCTTTTTTGGTGAGTGCGAAGTGCACACTTATTTTCAGCTACGAGGATGCCGTTTTATTGAGCGTGGGGATGAATAAATCGTTGCAGGCACCTGCTTCAAAGCTATTCGACTTGCAATAACAACAACTGGTTTGGTGTATGCATAGATTAACTGTACCTTTTTCTCTTTCATAGGATTTATTGCAGCAATACTTTTTTTCATCAGAGTGCATTGTATTAGTCGGTCAATTATTTACTTGGTCTAATTACCTGGATAAGATGATTCATATTTGTGTTCATCCCTTGCCTGAAGAGCAGTCTTGTTGAAAAATGTTGACCATTCCTTTCGGTCTCTTCAATAGCCTTTTTTTGAAAAGTGTGGGTTGTCTATACTTCGTATCATTGTAACCTAGAAAAGGACAACCGCCACAGCCCCCTCGAGCCAATCAGAGAGACAGAGCGAAGGTGTGTGACAAATCTGTGCAGACGAGCACTCTGAATGACATGTTGTCATGTGCCTCTCTCCAACGTGCATATTGGCTCACCGAGACTGTAGCCTTTGCTGTTTGCCAAATTGTGATGAAACAAATTACAGTAGCTACTACTCTAATTACCCCAGGCTTTCATACTTGGTCATTTGTTCTACAAGAATGTTACGTCCGCCATCACTGTGAACTCGGCTCAGCGCCCATTGGACTCGAATGCTGCATTAGCATTTGACGTGAACTGGGGCCCATTTGTGTGCTTTACGCCGAAAAAAAATGGCAGCAGTTGTGTTGCTTGATGGGTTTCTGCAAAGGGTCTACGTATAGGAAGTGTCCTGCTATATAACAATGCATCAACGCATACGATTAAAGTATATGCTCAGAGGTGTGTTCAGGAAAAGTGGAATGAGTGCAGCCCAATGCAACAAGTCTGCCAGTCTGGTATGTCCCATCGATTAATATTCAAGGGTCAGAGATGCGAGTGTCCTCAAAAGTACCTGCGCGTGTGGTGAACACAATTCTTTGTGTATAAACTCTCAAGGCATAAAGGTAAGCGGAAATAGGTTTATCTGGTTAGTGTATCAAATGTTTATTTCCACTGCATTACATAATTATTGATTCTTAGTTAATGGTTCTAGAACGAGTTCTTTCTGCGACAGTCTCCTGTCAGGCGTTCAATCGTAATACCTGTGGACCTTGTTGTGGGACGACGCTCCTGGCACGTCGGTGTTCAGTTTGGTCGAGTAGCAACTTTAACCGACTGATGCCATCTTGTAATCATACGTCATTTGCGCCTACTGACATCTGATGCACTGAAGCTGCAGGGCTGGCTTCTAATCCGCAAATTTTTCCTGGTAGTTTTTTGCACCAATGCAGCAAGCTCGGGCATGTATTGGTTATATGGCTGTGCCTTTTGCTGTACCGTTGACTTGATAGCTGGCAACAATCTTTGCTATCCAAGCCATTTCACTTTTATTTCGTAATGGAGATTTATTGTGCATCCCACGACCACTGCAACTTGTGCAAGTCTTGTGTGGCAAAGTGAAGTCTCGTGATGCTTGTAGTCCACTTTTGAGAGAAACCAACCATTCTATTTCTTCAGGTCACTGAGCGTCATTTTCCCTCAAAGTTGGAAATTGTGTGCTTCATGGCTTGGACACAGATAATTAGTGTCAGCAAATTATTAGGTATTGTCCTTGGGCGACAACCGACACCAGATCCACTCTCCTTGCATTGCCGCTCACCTGCTTTGTCGTGCTTACCTCCCGTCCAGATGAAGTAGATCACGAGCTTCGGGGTAATGTCGGCGCCAGGGACAAGGACCGCCGAAGATAATCCTAAATCTTCCCCGGACGCTCGCCAAGACGTGGTCGA